GGGGGGGGGACACACAGGCCTTGGTGAAGGAGGCAGCCGGGGGCCGTCGGCTCCTTCCTGCAGAATCCATCCTTGGCGTCTGAGGGCTCCTTTGATGCCGACAGGGTGAGGGGCGGCTCCCAGGCTGTGGGTGCAGGGCGCCCTCAGAGGCTGCCGGGGCCCAGGGGCTGTGCTGTCCCGGGTGGGCTGAGCAGCCACTCAGAGGCCCCCTCCTTGCAGAAATCTGTCCAGGCCTCACTGTTCCGGAAGAGGCTGGGGACCCGGGCGGCCTACGAGGTCCTCTCCAGCACAGCAGGGGGAGAGGCGCCCTCTCGGGGGTGAGTGCCGGGCTCCCTGGGAGGTGGGGCTGCTGCTGTGGGGGCTGCGGTGTTCATTAGTTGGTTAGGGTGCGTCCCTTGAGCGCCAGGGCTCCCCTCGTTCCTGCCTCTGAGTTAGCACATTCATCCTCATGACCCCGAGTGCCTGGGCTGCGAGGGGCCCAGTGGCTCTGCCTGCACACCCACCGTGCCCTTCCCTTCCCACCCCACACCCCTGTGCCCTAAGTTGGGTGTCGGGAACAGAGGGACCTACCTAGGCCATGTCTCCACTGAGCCCTGGTTTGGAGGCATTGTTAGCATGTAAGGCTCCAGTCGGGCTGCTCCTGAGCGCCCTGCTCCTGGCTGACAGTGTCTCCAGGATTTTAGAGATGGGATGGCTGTGCCTCCTCCGCCATCGGCTTCTCCTTTGGAGGCCTCGCCATCACCCAGGTCTGCACAGTTCAGGCCAGAGGTCAGGTGCCCCTGTCACTGAGCTACTGGGCTCACTGGGGCGTGGGTGTCTTTTTTCCACAGAGTTGGGGTGAAGGCCCAGGACCTCCTGCAGGTGCTTCGGAAAGTCCAGGTGGACAGCACCCGCAAGCAGGCCGTCATGGAGGTATTAGCCCCCCGGCCTCCCAGCCTGTGCTTCTGGGCCCTGCCCGGTGGTCATGTGGGCCAGCAGCCCCTTTTCAGGGCAGGGGCGTCATTTCAGAGTAGCCAGGGCTGGGCCAGCCCGGGGAGGGAGGTGGCTCCCCCTTCCCCTCTGGGCTCTCCTTGTCCTGGGCCCTGGCTGGCCCGCTGACCAGTGCCTCCCTGCTCTGCAGAAGGTGCGTTCCTATGGTGACGGCCTGCTCTCAGCTGACGAGTTCCAGAAACTTTTCAACGAGTTTGACAAGAGTCTGACTAAAGAGGTAACTGGGGCCAGGCGAGAGCCCCCTGCCCAGGCCAGGGCTTCCCAGGGTTAGTGGGGAAGTTAGCGGTGTCTGAGGGGTTGCCCACCTGGGTGCCTTAGTGACCAGCACCAGGACTGGCCTGCCTAGGATTCTGGCCCCGAGATGGTCATGGGAGCTGAGATGGTTGGCTGTTGGAAGCTGGGGAGGTTGGGATGAACTCATGAAATCTGCAGAGGCACCTTCCAGGTGGTTTTCTCTGTCTCCATACAAACCCTCACTCTCTTCCCCTGTGCCCTTCCTTGGGAGGCTCTGAGTTTGTCTGACCCCTTGGTCTTTTATCCCGACGCTGATTGTAAGGCCACCGGGTGGGCCTTGGTGTCCAGCTCAGTGCCGTGTCCAGAAGGACCCCTCCCGCCTGCGTTTTATGTAGTGGGTTTCTGGGGTGTGGGCGGCGTTGTGGCGAGACAGCCGAGGCTCTCAGGCAGTTTGGGGGCTAGGGCAAGGCCTGCTGCTCCAGCTGCTCGGCCCCGAGAAAACGGGGATGTGGGCAGAGTCCGGCTGGACTCCGCACAGCTGTGTCATTGTCCACTCAGCTCAGTTGCTGTGACAGATGCCACAGCCTTCCCACTGTGGCCCACGGGATGTTCCGTCTTCCCCAGCACCCTGGGACTACAGAACTGTGGTGTGAGGTCGGAGTTTGGGTCCTAGAGGTCCGCGGAGCTGTGCTCACCTTGGCTTCATGACACCTGTCCCGCAAAATGCCGATCGCAGGGGCAGACAGATGCCAGGGTGTGTGGCTGGGACAGAGCCGGCCAGCTCGCCCTCCTGCGTGTCCCCCCCAGTGTCCCCTAGTGAGGAAGCCTGACCCCATGCTCCCCGCCGTGGCAGAGCGGGCGTCGCAGGCAGAATCGGGCCGAGGGGATCGGTTGAGCAGCACGGCCGGTTGGGTCCTGCCCAGAAGAGCCTCTGTCAGTCTGAGTCTCAGTGTGTCCCCTGCAGTTGCAGGAACATATACGCACCTGCAGAAACACTTTTTTTTGACATCTGTGTGAGGTGACGTGACTCTTGCTCTGCAGCGTCCTCCAGGTCCGTCCACGCTCGTGAGAACGTAACGGCCTCCCCGAAACGGTGGCCGCGGAGAGCCCCGGAGATGGGACTGTTGTCAGGAGCTGTGGGTGTTTCATTTTTTTTTTTTTTCCGGTTAATTCTCACCCGAGGACATTTTTTTTCCATTGATTTTCAGAGGGGGTGGCAGGAAGGGAGGGGGAGAGAGAGAAACATCGACGTGAGAGACACACCGATTGGTTGCCTCCTGCACTCGCCCAGCTTGGGGCCGGGGATTAAACCTGCAGCCCAGGTACGTGCCCTTGACCTGGAATCGAACCCGAGACCCTTTGGTGTGAGGGCCGACGCTCCAGCCACTGAGCCCCACCAGCCGGGGCTGGGTGTTGCGTTGGCTTGCCTGTGAATGAAGTAGCCTGTGCAGTCGGTGGCCGGGGTGCGGGATGGCGCGGGCGCGGGCCCTCGCGCTCCTCACGGCTGTCCTGCACACCCGGGCACCCGGGGGGCTCCGTTTGCGGTCCCTCCAAGCCCCGCGGAGGTGGGCCTGCGCCCCTGCGTCCCCCGTCTCGTTACTGCCGAACTGTTCCCATCGCTCCCGCTCCCGCCTGTCTCCGGCCTTCTTTTGTGCTGCGCTGTTTTCAGTCGTCAGCATGTAACTTACGCACGCTTTCCACGTAACGCTTCACGTCGTGGTCAGCGCTTTGCCCGCACCTGAGGGCTGCGGAGTGTTTCCTCTCGGTTTCCTTGCGGGTCGGGGCTGTTCAGGCCGCCCCTCTGCTGCTGTCATAAGACCTTCGTGCGTGAAGCCCTTTCTGGGTTTGAGGTGGTTCCTTGGGGGGTACCCTGGGGCAGGAGGTCAGCTGGGGGAACGTGGGGCCTTGGCATACGGGCGCACGGGCCTTGCCGGGCTCCCCGTGGCCGCAGCTGTTGCTGGCCGCGTCTCTGAGCGTGCGCGTCCCTCTAGCACCCACCGCCTCCGGAGTACCGGTCCCCGTTTCTGCGGACCGCCCAGCTCCTCTTCGGCCACCGCTGCTTTGACTACCTGGGGAACTTCATTGTCCTCGCGAACCTCGTGTCCATTTGTGTGAGTGCGGATGTGCCCTGAAGGGGCCCCGGAGGTGCCCACCCCCTGCCAGCCTCCCAGCGGCGCCCCCAGCCTTGCGCGAGGCCCGGCGCTGGGCCCGCTGGCGAGCACCTCCCTCTGCTCTGCAGGTGTTCCTGGTGCTGGACGCCGATATCCTGCCCCAAAACCGCGACGACTTCATCCTGGGGGTGAGCTCTGAGGCCGCTCAGCAGTCCGGCCTCTGCTGGGCTGACGGAGGAGAATGTGGGGCTCCAGGTCTGCTGGGAGGCAGGGCTGTTCCAGGGCCGAGTGACCAGCTCTGTCACGGGGTCCCCAGAGTTGGGGGTAACAGGTTGTGGGAGGGGAGGCTGGCCGAGGCTGGTGCAGGCCAGGGAGCCAGGGGCAGAGGCCCCCGCGAGCGCGGGGTAGTCAGCTTGCGGGGTGGACGGCGGAGGGAGGGTCCTGTAGAGAAAAAGACCCAAGGGGGCAGTGAGGGCTCAGTGGACCGGGCGGCCCGCGGGTGAGGTTGGAGGCCAGTGGCGCTGGGACTGAACACTGGGTACCTGTTGGCCCCTCTCAGGTCCTCAACTGTGTCTTTGTCCTGTACTACCTGGCGGAGATGCTGCTCAAGGTGTTCGCACTGGGCCTGCTGGGGTACCTGTCCTACCCCAGCAACCTGTTCGACGGCATCCTCACTGTCATCCTGCTGGTAAGGCCTGAGGCCCAGCCGCCATTCTGGGTGGGTGGTGCGTCCTTGCACTGGCTTTGCGCTGTGTTCCATGTCAGGCGGCCCGAGGACCTGAGGGCGCAGGACGGGGCTCTGGCCTCGAGGGCCTGGCTTTCCCCAGCGAGCTGCTTGGCGGGTGGCCGATGGGGGTACAGGAGTTTCTGCAGTGTCTGAGCGTGGTAGGGTCCCCGCCTCTCCTGACCCCTGCAGGAGGCCTGGGTGGAACCTGCATCCCTCATCGGCCACCCCAGCCCTGGGCACAGCCTCTAAGGCCACTAAGGACAGTGAGACCTTGACGTGGGTGGAGGGCTGGCAGGAGGGGTGTCTCAGACACCTAAGTGCCCTGGGGGCGTGTCCCATCTCTTCTCCAGAGCCAGCGGGTGGGGGTGGGGGCTGTGCCCGTGAGTGACAGCAGCGGTCAGTGTGACATGTGACATGAGAGTTGCGGGCCCCTCGGGACAGGAACAGAGATCATTCGAGAAAGGCCTTCAGCCCGTCTTTGACCAAGTAGCTCCTCCCGCGCCCAGGACTACGCCAGCCTTTCGCTTGTCCCTCGAGTGTGGCCCCGATTCCTAAGACCAGAGTGTCTTTTCAGCCTCAGGAAGTCCCAGCATTTGGAACCAACCTGTGGGGACAAGAACTGAGCTCTCGTTTCTCCCCGAAGCCCCTTGTGGGGAGAACACTAGGCAGCTTTATAACCCACTGAAACGCCGCCAGGTTAGCGTTGCTGTAGCGATGCCTCCTTCTCTTTTGCAATTAAAGGTTTTGGAGATCTCAACTCTGGCTGTGTACCGATTCCCACACCCAGGCTGGTATGTGACTGAAGGACCGAGGGCGGCTACAGCAACCACGCCCAGCTGGCGCCCCGGGAAGGGTGTCCCCCGCCCCCGCCTGCAGCCGGGCCTGCTCACTCACTCGCTCGCTCGGGCTGCTGGGGCTCAGGGGCGAGACCCCGTGGCTAGGAAAGCGGGCTGATCGGGACTCTGCCCCCGCCCTCTGAGGGCCTCTCTGATATTCCTAACTCGCCTTCAGGGTGTAATTCCCCGAGTGTGGCAGGACGCTCTCAGTCAGGGTGCCCCCACGATGCAGGGGGCCCAGCCCCCAGGATGGTGGACATGTGGCCCAGGTGAACTGGGGGTGGAGCAGAGGCCCCAGCTCAGGGCTGGTGACCTGTGGGCACTGGAGTGGAGCTGCATCCCTCTCTGGCTTGGAAGCCAGAGACTTTAGGCCCCCTGTAAGGTGACGGGAGGGCCTGGGGCTTGTCGCTCTCACGCTGCTGTTTGAGCCCCAACACCCCTGGCTCTGGGCACACAGAGGGGCAGATATTGGGGCAAGGGCCCCAGGGCAGCTTGCCTTGCAGCTTGTAGCAGCCACAGGTCTTGCTGCCCAGATCACAGCTGCCCCAGCTAGTTCACGTGCCGGCCTGGCGCCCTCAGGCAGCCCCGGTCTGTGGGTGTCTGTGTTGGACCAAGCAGCTGGGAATAGCTCGAGGTCGGGAGTGCGCCTCAAGGACTTGCTGTTTAGGGTCAGCCGTGTGGCAGCTGCTGGGAAGGGTTTGTCTCGGGAAGACAGGTGGGGCTGGCACTGTCCTTGGTGGCCGAGGCGCTGGGTCTGCTGTGAGCACATGCTGGTCGGTGGGTGATGCTGCTCGGCTGGCCGGTCTTCTGCAGGACCAGCTCTCCTATGTGTAAACTGCACTTTTGTCTGAGAATTGTGGGGCTGACATTCTGGGTGAGGAATGGGTTTAAATTTAAATAGAAATGAGAGCATGGCGAGGCCATGAGGGACAGCAAGGGATGGATGGGGGTTGGGGCAGGTTTAGAGGGCAGAGATCAGGGCATGGGACATGCGGTTAAGGGTCGGGGTAAGTTCAGGGGTTGGTGGACAAGGGAAAGGATCAGGGATCAGGAGACAGGAGTCAGGAGATGGGATTGGAGGAAGGGGTCAGGGTTCAGGAGATACTCGGTTAGGGGTTAGGGTAGAGTCGGGACAGGGTCATATCAGGAGACAGTCAAGGGACGGGGTCAGGTGATAGGACAAGGTCAGGGAGCAGGAGATAGGGTCAAAGGAAGGGGAAGGGGCTGGGGGTAGGATATGTGAATATGGGTTAGGGGGTGAGTGATGGAGTCGGGCCAAGCCTCCCAGTTTTGCTGGGACCTGGGCTGGGCATCCAGGGTCCGCCACCTTGGTGGTGTCCGTGTAAGACGAGGGGCCAGCTGGCCCACCGCCACGTGGGGCCGTGCTGGGACGGTCTGTGCCCACTCTGCCGGGCGTTGGGCGCGGGCCTCCAGGCTCTGCGCCTTGGTCACGGCGGGGTCTCCAGCTGGAGTCGGCGCTCCCCACTCTCCGTGTCTGCCCTCCTCTGCCCTTCACCGTGTGTGCACTGCCTCCCCGTGGCCGCGTCTGGGCCCCTGCCGACCCCTCTGCCTCTGCAGGAAGCCGGAGGTGCAGGGCCTGCTGTCGCTGTGGGACATGGTCCGCCTGGCGAACATGCTGATCGTGTTCCGGTTCCTGCGCATCATCCCCAGCATGAAGGTCTGTGGGGGCCCCCCCCGCCCCCTCACGTCCCCGCTGTCCGCTCCGCTGCTCCTTGTTCCAGGGAGCGGGCGAGCCTGGGCGGGGACCAGACCCTGCGGTGCCCCCCTGCACCCGGCTGGGTGGGGAGGGCACCAGGCGAGCGCTGTCGGACGGGGTGAAGCCCTGGGCAGTTGTTGGGGGAACTTTCAGCTCCTCAGCCCCTGGCATGTGCGAGGGGCAGGGTGGAGCCCTTGGGACATAGTGTTCCCGTGTCCTGAGGTGTCTGAAGGGCCTTTGGTTGGGCTCCTTAGTGGCTCCTGGTAACGAGGGCAGAGTAGGCTTGACTGTAGCGCTCACACCTCCAGGACCGTCTTCGAGCCTCGATTTCTCTGATGTTCCCACCATGGTGACATCACCCTTTGGGGAACCAGGAGTGACATCACCCTGAGGGGAGGGGCCCAGCCCTGCCCAGCACGAGGCAGAGTTCACTACTCCCTTGGTTTCTCTAGGAACTTTTTAGAAGAGACCTCTAGAACACCAGGCCCCTTCCTGGGTGCCAGGTCCGTCCCCTGGGCACACCTCTGCTTCCCGCCGAGCTGTCATTTGTCCCATCTGAGGGCAGCTCAGGGTCCTAGGTGCAGGTGGTGCTACTGCCCCAAAGCCTCTGCATGTCACACTGTGCACGTGTGATCATATATACACATGTGAACACATGCATAAGCATGAGTCATACATATGTACACGTGATCACAATCCACATGATTACACACCTGTAATAAGTTACACATATAGACAGCATATAGCTACACACATAGAAGTACATACATGTAATAACACGTGTAATCAAACACACATCATTACAGAGATAATTACATACATGCACACACCCAGCAATGCATGTGCATGTAACTAACAACCATACATAACACACACATGTAGTCACATGTACACAGTGTACACACACAACTATGCGTACACACACAAACTGCACATACACACCTCTCAATTGTGCACACACGCCTATGTATATACACAGCCATATATGCAGTTATGTATACACGTGTGCACATGTGTGCACATGTGCACACACGAATACATATGTACAGCTACATGTGTATAGACACAGTTTTATAAATGCACATGTACACATACATGCAGTCACATGCACAGAATCACATAAGCACATACACACATGTACATATAGACACACAGTTATATGCACACATGCACACACATACAGGTTTCCACCTGCTGGCAGCTATGATGTTCTAATGCATCAGGTGGGGAACGGGCCTCAGGCGTGTGGGTTGGGAGCAGCCCTGTGGCCGGGGTTCCTGGCTGCATCTCTGAGGCCCCCGCTTGCAGACCTGGGAGCCTCCAGCCCAGAGAGGCTGACCTGGCCGCAGGGCTGGAGGGCAGTGTGGTCTGTCCTGCATGGGGCTTCACCACGGGGACTTGGAACTCAGACCCAAGGCTGGGTGGACGCGGTGTCTGGATGTGTGGGGGTGAGTGAGTGTGTATGGGGGTGTGTGTGTACAGCTGTGTGTATGTACTGCCCTGTGTACAGGTGTGTTTGGTTTTGTGGGTGTGTAGGGGTGGCTGTGGGGTGTGTGTACAGGTGTGTGTGTTGGTGCTAATTCACCTGCCTTTCAAAGGGCGGGTGGTGGGCAGGGTCAGCACCACCTCAGTGAGACCAGGAGGAACCGGCTCTGCTCTCTCCGTCCTCAGCTGATGGCTGTGGTGGCCAGCACCATCCTGGGCATCATCAGAAACATGCGGGCTTTCGGCGGGATCCTGGTGGTGAGTCCAGCTGCCTGAGCGGGTTGGGGGGGACACTCACCGGGAGCTGGGCACCAGGGACCCCAGATGAGGTTGTGGCCAGCTCTTCTTTCTCGGGGCTTTCAGGAACTCGGAAAGGTGATTCCTCCCCACCCCCACCCTAGGGCCCATCTGCCCCTGAGGTGCTGTCAGCTCCGCCCACGGCCCAGCCTGGTCAGGGGTGTGAGTAGGTGGGGCCCAGGTGCTGCTTCAGGCACAGGAGACTCTGTGACAATGACGAGGATGATGCCGCTGGTGGCCTTTGTCCTTTATTCTGAATGACACCATGGGAGGTGGGAGCCACCTGGGAGGGGAGCCCTGGTGCCCTGGGCTTGTCACTGGGGCTAGAAATAGAATCTTGCATCAGGCACTGCCCCCCACCCAGACCCCTATTTGCACATCGGGGGAAACTGAGGCCAGAAGGGGCTATGTTAGCCCAGGATGTGAGCCCCTCTCCCGGCCCCCTGGCAGTTAGGAACCAGCCCAGCGCAGCCCCCCTCCGAGGCTGCCCTGTGCTTCTGGGTCGCCCCCTGGTGGACACGGGAAGCATGGTGGGCCTTCCTCCTGGGGAGGCCTGGCCTCCCCCACCCTTCCTGGGACCAGCTTCTGGCCCTGTCGTCAGCGGAGCCCTTGTCCCTCTGCCTGCCACCCCTGTCCTGCAGGAGGGCACACAGCCTCGGCTGCCTTGGCCTCTCCGGGCCACAGTTTATCTTTGGGGCTCCCCCAGCAGTGGCTCCTCCCTCCTCTCCTCTGTGTTGTCCTGTGCCTCTGGGGCCGTTCGGTGGCCAGGAAGGGGTGCCTGGGGGTAGAGCCCCAGGGTTCCCGGGGGTGGGCAGCAGCGCCAGGCGGCCCCTCGCAGGGCGGGCTGAGCTGGGCTGCCCGCCGGTGCCCGCAGGTGGTCTACTACGTGTTCGCCATCGTGGGCATCAACCTGTTCCGGGGCGTCATCGTGATTCCTCCTGGAAACCGCAGGTGAGGCGGGGCCTGCAGGTGCCGATGGAGCGCCGGGGGGGGGACAGCTGTGAGGTCTCGGCAGCCCTGTGGGTCAGCTCCCCAGGCCGGGCCCCCTGCTCTTTCCCTTTCTTCCTTGCTGCCCCCTCCCCGCGCTCCCCCGCCCCTC